GCCTCCCAAAGTGCTGGGATTACAGGCTTGAGCCACCGCGCCCAGCCAACCTGGTCTTAAGTTATCCTCCCACCTTGGCCTCCCAAAGTGCTGGGATTACAGGCATCAGTCGCTGTGCCCAGCCAGACAATAATTTTTAAGAAAGAGGAGGCCGGGCATGAGTGTGGCATGAGTGACTCCATTTTGGCTTAGCCTTTTGGGGCCTAACATAGAAGCTGTCTGTTTCTAGGGCAGCCCTGATGAAATAACTGGGAAAGTTCTTTTTCTAAATGTTTTCCTTTAGTCGCTTTATTTATAGGCACAGCTGCTTAAAGCAACCAGACAGGCCAGAATGGTGCCAGAGCTTCTTGACCCCTGGCAAGATACCAGAAGAAGATAAGACCTACTAACCAGCACAAACTGGAACAGTTATCCCTAGTTGCCTTCAGATCATTAACATATCATTATAATGCTAAAATCTCTCCCCTAAAAGAAAAATCTCTTCCATTTTTTATACATGCATTGTATGAAGATGCATGTTTTTGAATTACGCCTGTGTGTCTGGAGTCCCACCTTGCACATGCTAACATCCCTCTCCTCTCCATACCCAGTCCCTAAAGTACCCATAACTTCTATTGTTCAGGGAGAAGGGGCGTTTAGAGCAAGAGCCTCCCCTTCTGCCTTCTTGGCCAGTGAATAAAACCTGATTGCCTTTTCCAACTGGACATTCTTCCTTTGCCATCAGTACAAAGTGGAGAAAGAACTCAGTTTACTGGCAACACGTCCAAACCAATATCCTCATGTAAATTTTATTTAATACCTCCCAAAGGTTACCTCTCCAAATACCATCACACTGGGGTTTCGGGCTTCAACATATGCATTTTGGAGGGGATATAATTCAGTCCATAGCAGGTTCTTTGATTTCCCATTTCTCATTGATTCTGAATATCTTTCCCAGGTAACTGCTGGGAGGAGAAGTGCCTAGGTAAATGCAGGAGTTAAATACTTTTGGTTGCTTGTCTTAACAGCATGAATTTCAAGCAGAGCTTCTAGGAGTGGCTGCTCAGTTTTGGACTGCAGTTACCTGCCCTCATTTCTCCCTTGGTCGGGCTCTAATGCAGGGCATCTTTTCCTAACGTATACAAAGGCATGTTTCAGCCTTGTTTTTTGAACGGATTCCAAATCTTACAGGTGTCTAACAATAACGATCCCATTAGGTACACAGGTTCTGACCCAATTTCCTAGGACTGAAAAAAAAAAAAAAAAGAATGATTTTGAGAGGTGAAAAAAAATCAGTCCTCATGTCATGCAGCTGAGGTTCTCCCTTTTCCCTGAGAGTGAGTTTTTTTTTTGTTGGGACACTTTTCCACATCTCACACATACCCTCTTCCCCCACTCCCTACTCATTTGCCAGACTTGTCTGGATATGTTTGACTTTAGGTAGCAGACCCAGTCTGAGTCCATTGTCAAGGGCCTCTGGAGGCCTCTGCATGGCCTGCCCTGCTAGTTTGACGAACATACCCAGGCATGCTTGAACTCCAGCAATGGACAACAGATTTTCCACTATACAAATAAAGGGAGGAAGCAGGCATAGAAATACCGCAGAGGTCCAGGAAAAGAGAGGGAGAGCACAGTGCCACTGTGCCACTGCTTGCCTCAGGTTCTCTTTTGATTTGCATTTTAATGGTAAATTTTGGTATAAAAGTTGCCGTATACTCAGCGGTCAGCCTTTCTCCTCTCCACATCTGGGGCCATAAGTCCTTGGTGTGTCAGGTTCTATTTCCTTCCTGGTCTATGTGTAGTGTTTACCAGAAATGCTTAAGACACATTCTTGGTGACGAAAAAAAATTCTATTTAAGGAATGGTGACCAAAAATGAACTTAGATGCGAAACTAAAACAAACAAAAAGCTTTTCACTTTGCTTTGAATTGGGTACACTCTTTTAACAGTAGGGCACTTTGTGCAGTGTAATATAGCTCTGCTATGACCAGTTTCACCAAGTCTGTTCAATGACTGCCTTGGGAACCAGATCAATCGTGGTCTGCCCTTTAAAGGTAGCAGCACTAATTCCTGCTGCCAGCCTCAGCTCAGACACAATGGAGAAACAATTCCCCAATGTTAGACTTAATCACATTGATCTATTTTTCTGTAGCTCTGGTCTTTGCAAGAAACAATGAATGTACAGCCAAACTCAAATGTAATCCCTAGATTATGTCAGCTGTTCTATTATCTCTGGATCTTGTATTTTGGGGGCTGTTAATGATATATCATAGCAGATAATAGAAATTTGAATTTTGTGGTGTTTCTTTAAAAGTAGCCAGATAAGCAAGTACATGAAATGACTACAAAGATTCCATTTCAAATCTCGTTGAAGGTCATAATGAAGATGGTTGTCTTATAATCTCTTACCAACGGAGGTGTTGGGGAAGACAAAAATCCCCCTTCCAACAGGTGAATTAGTTAGGGTGGCCTCAATCTCTCATCATCCACATTGATCAATATTCTCACTACTTCTTTATTTTTATGAAAAATGGGGAGGGACAGTGCAATCTTATCATCTCCACATTTATACAAGGAGTGCTTGAGAGTTAAGGCAGAATGCAGTCCTCTGGGTCCCTTTATGTGGTCAAATAACCCACAATTTTTGGCTGGCCTCACCCAGTCTTCATTGATTCCCTTTCCCTTGCAACTGTAGGTGCAGCCATGGGACCAAGTTCTGTGGAAGAGAGAGCTTCTGGGAGCCTTCCTTGATGGGCAGCATATCCTTTGCCTCTCCATCCCTTCCTGCTTCCTGCTGCTTAAAGCTTGAGTGCTATAACCATGAAGCATGAGCATGCCATGCACAGCTGAACAGCAAGACAGAGGACCTTGGGTCCCTCAAACCATGAATCACTGTATCAGTCCTAGCCCCACCACTCAGACTTCTGTGTGAGAAAGAAATTTAACCTGTGACTCAAAAAAAAAAAAAAGTTATTCTTTTTTTTAAATTATTTTTTTTGAGATGCAGTCTCGCTGCTCTGTCACCCAGGCTGGAGTGCAGTAGTGTGATCTCAGCTCACTACAATCTCCCCCAAGTGATTCTCCTGCCTCAGCCTCCTGAGTAGCTGGGATTACAGGCAGGTGCCACCACACCTGGCTAATTTTTGTATTTTTAGTGGAGATGAGATTTCATCATGTTGGTTAGGCTGGTCTCGAACTCCTAACCTTATGATACACCTGCCTTGGACTCTCAAAGTGCTGGGATTACAGGCATGAGCCACTGTGCCCAGCACAAGTTTATTCTTGATCACACCACATGTCCATTGCTGGTCAGCAGAGGGACTTTGCTCATTGTGGGTGCTCAGAGAGCCAGGCTGACAGTGTCCATGTCAACCAGTGCTTCCACCATTGCTGACAAAGACAAAGGGAATATAGTGAATTGTATACTGATAAGGCTTGGAGCTGAAAATAACACATGCCATTTTACTGACTAATGCAAGTCACATACCATATCTAACTTCAAAAAGGTAGGCAAGTAGTCTATTTGCCCTAAAAGCAGGAGAACCAGAATGTGTGGATAATCCCAATAATGACTATAATTTCTATCTTACCTAAGCCACTGTTATTTTGGGTTTTCAGCCAATTGCATCTGCACTGAATCCTAATTAAGATAGGAATGATCACATCAATGCTGTGATAACTAAGCCCTGTGAGGAAGGCTGTCACTGGGTGTACACCTTGTACTCTGAAGGATTTGCAGGGGTCACTCTCTGTGGCTTTTCTGGGAAAGAAGAAACCACTTCTTTCTTAAGATCTTCAGTCATCCTTCAATCATTGACATCTACTACACTGGAGGCAAATCACTAAGAATTCCTATTCCTAAAGTTCAGGCTACCACCTCTAGCTCCTTCTAAGTGTAGGAAATGTTCCCTATTCTTTTGAAAACACAATTCTAGTCTTTTTCTATTCTGCTTTGTTCCAGCATTCAAATCTTAGTCCTTGAGATCTGTCATCTTTCCCAGAGGCTCTAAATATGTCCTTACCTCTTTCAATTTGGCAAACATCTTCACTTGACCCTACGACACTTTCCAAATCTATAGACAAATGAGTCGTTCTACACCTATTGTCTTCTTGTTTTCCTTTTCTGAAACCCCTGTGATGAGGCTTCTGTTTGTACCATTCTACTTAAACTGTCTAAAAAGCCATTAATGGCTTATCAAGAAGCGTTTGTCTAAAACTCTGGAATTTCCTGGAAACATGCTTTCGTATATTTCACGTAGCGGAATGGATAACAGTACCAGATAAAAACAGTCATAGATGTAGTAAAATATAGTAGAGTCCTTTCTGCATTTGGGTCGTATGGGAATGCTTTCCGATCTGCTACAGGTAAAATCACATGTCTGTCAGCTCCTGCCCCAAAACACAGGAGCCATCTGCAGTACAAGGCTGACATATTTGTTTCTCTAAATGAGCTATATTTTGCAACACACACATTCCATCTGTAATCCAGAGTGTTTTAGTGTGTGTAGGTGTGACCTAGAAGCAGGCACAGTTCATTAAAAAACAAAAAGCACCAAAACCTTTTACAGGTTATTCTCACAGATAAAAATTCTATAGACTACCAACAGAGGAAGTCTTTATTGTTCCTGGAGAGCTAGACCATACACAGATGGATCATACTTGCTCTTTGCAATCTCATTCAGAAGCAGGAAAAAGGGACGGTATTGGATTTGAATATGAAGGACAAAAGCAGCTCTGGAGACACCAAGTAATAGTCTACGTTACAGGTTTAACACATTCATTTAATCTCACTGGGAAAAATAATGAAACTGGTGAAAAGTATTTATGGAACTGGATGAGAGCATATTTTGCTGGTTTTACTTTATGTTTGAAGTTTTAGGTATAGCTATGCCCATAAATACTGAAATGCCTAGCATAAAGAACGCAGCCTGGGGCATACCCCATAAAACTTACAGTGCAATTAAATGAGCAATTTCCACTGGAAATAAAACGGACATGTTGAGTGGAATATGAATTAAACTGCATATGACTCAGGCCTTCACTAGGCTTTAGAGAGAGATCTACTGGTTTCAGTAGCACCTGATGCCATCCATCTATAGGTCAAGGCCAGTAAGTAACAAAAGATAACTGTAGTTAGCATGAAGATTAGGGCATACCAAATTGTGGTTAATGTAGTTTCCCTGTGAAAGAGCCCAGCAAAATTACAACTGATAACAAAGGATTAAACCTGACCTTTCTTTACACTGCAGACATATTGAGCTTCTGCATTGTTTGCTATGCAGCATTTTTGACACTTCCCTCAAACTTCATTTTCACTTTCTGAATGTTCTCTCTCAGACCAAAGTCACCCAGGTGCCATTATAAAAGAGTTTCTAAGGGAGATTTCAACTAGAAAATGAAAAAGCCACCAAAACAAACATTGGTTTGCATTCCAGACCACTTTCTGCTCTTGTTCATTTCTGGGATCTTACTTGGAGATTAAAGGGTAATGATTCGCTGATACCCTGAGGGAAAACCAGTTCAGGAGCAGCCTTTGAAAAAACACATGTAGAAATCTTGCTGATAGAGGGAGAAAACAAGTTTCAATCTTATTTGTAGTGTAGGGTAAAGCAAGTCCACCCAAGATAAAGCTTAGCATTCTTTCTTTGAGGAATTAGGGTAAGGGTGAAGAAAAGAAAGCTTGATATTTTTCTGCCTATGAAAGCCAGAAGGCGGCTCAGAGAAGCCAGTTCCTTCTTTTCCTCTTTTCCCGAGTGCCAGACCTCTGCAACTCCCAGAGGAAATGAGGGCATGGGGTGGGTAATAGTGCATGTGATTGGAATGAGTATTCCCAGCCATTTAATATATTCACAAGTCAAACTATAAAGTATTTCTTTAAAAAAATTATAGTATTTCACTGAAGTTTGAATGTACTTTCTCTTGCCAAAATAATCAGTGTCCTTCATTTTTCTAATGATTAAAAATGTGCTACATATATAGGGAATTTTTCCAAATGAAAAATAACATTTTCTATGGCAGCACATACAGTGCTTGAATTTTTCACCTTAGATTGTATTCTAGCCAGACCTAAACTCAGTATGTCTTACTTGTATAATGATAATTCATGTCGTCAAACCAAATGCACTGTTTGCTACTCATTTGCCCAGAAGCCATCTTTTCCTAAAGTGAGCAATATTAGGTGCATTTGTCTGGCTGGCCGAGGGCTCCTCCCTACAGCTTCTGCAGCCATGGAAAAGTCTGGAAGGACAGTGTTCGCTTGTACAAGAAGAGGGAAGGACAGCATGAGAAAAGCAAAATCTTGCAGCGTCTGTGGTCGGAAGAAGAAAGCTGAAGCTAGTTAGGAGGAAGGAGTGTGTGAGTGAATTAGGAGCTGAAGCAGTAAAGTAGCTTTCCCTGTGACCCTGATGTGTCGGGCATTTATTTCTGTCTTAGACTAAAGGCATAATAAAAAAGGCACTTTATTTAGGTTAACAGAGCATTATATAACTGGAAAGTTTTACAGTTTTATATATATAGTGAATAGTTTGTAGAGGATAAAAAGACTTCCCTTTGGTTTATTATTTGGGTAAGATAAAAACCCACGAATTCTTTAAGGATGCATTTCTTTCTTTTTCTTTTTTCTGCCTTTTTTTTTTTTTAAGACAAAAGCCTGAAGGCATAAAATGGAGTTATTTTCATCGGGATGTCACCCTCGATGCCGCTGCTTTACTACATGTTCATAGTCAAAATTATTTGATGTTTCCCTCGAATAGCTACGATCAGTTTGAAAACAGCTTTGTTAATTAGCAAGAGATGACGCAATATATCACTGCATCTTTAGGGCTCTGGCGCCAGCTAGTGGTGGGAGAGGGGAGCCGCCCTGTCGCTCTCAAATCTGGGAAGGCGTCGGTCTTCTCGCCTCCCGTTATCCCTCATCCTCCTCCATCAGCATAATGGGGGAATCATTGCAGTGTGGACAGAGAGGAGTAGACGAGATTATAGATGAAAGTAGAGAAAAACGGTGGGCAGGGGCAGGGAGAGGAAAGGCCAGACAAATGCAATCATTTCTCCAAAGGATTTGAGAAGAGATCATTTATTTGAAATATTCCTGCCATGTTGATGGAGCAGCTCAATCTTTTGCCAGTGAATTTTTAGCGTTTTGTTTTTCATTTGTAGATTTGCTTGAACATATACTTAGGACACGTTATAACCATGGAACTCATCACAAACACAGCACTGAGGACATGTTGTAAGTGTAAATTTGTGTTCATTTTTAAGTAGCAAATATTTCTACTGTGAACAGGCTCTGTTACCTCCTCACTGGTACGGCTCTAGGATGAATAACTTTCAAATGGTTAATAAAGGAGAAACCTCTTAAGATGGTATTTGTGGATGGTACACTAAGAAAAAAATATAAAATTTCCAGGCAAAAGAGACTTTATTTGGGAAGTATGAAGCAGATGTAGGTTTGGAGCCCTATCTATTCTCAAATAGAAATAGGTTGTGATGATTTGCAGGAAAACAGAAAACATACGTATTTATTTTAAGAACAAAGAATCTTTGGCAGGCCATCTTTCTCATTTAATTAAGCCATAACTGATCTTACTAGGGTTATGGAGGGACTTCAAATGCCAATAAATAAAACCTGAAGCTGAGACATTTCTTTCACCAAATAGCTGGAACTGTTTATAACTCTATTACTTATTGCTAAAATCAATTATTATTGCTAATATTCCCTGTGGAATTTATTACGAAAACAAGCTGAAGGTTATAAAGAAGAACTTTTCTTTTTAAATGTCATTCATATATCTATATTCATGTCAGTTATAGAGAATAAGGATAATCTGAACCAAGACTCTTGTAATAATATTTTTGGAAGGCAGATCTAATTTAAGAGGAGGTTTCAGGAAGGAAGAAATTGTCACAGTCTTACCTCAGTCTAATTTATGTTACTATGCTATTGGAGAAATAACATTTAAAACCTTGTCTGTGTAAGACATTAGGTGGTAAAATACCTGGTCATGGTGCTGGTGTGTGAGATTTACATAGACTACTATTTTGAGTACATTTTAAACTTTTGCTAAAAACTGCATATTTGATTAAGAAATTCACCTAACCTTGTTATCAACCAGGTCAAAATGTTGACATTTTCCCCTTGTTTTTAATCATGTTAAACTTTTCATATATAATAAGGCCCTGGTTAAAAATCTTAAAATTCTTCAGTTGACCTTGTTTCCTCTATCTCATTTATATGTCTTTTGATATAGAAGCTGAGCTCATACAATTAAGAGTTTCAAATCAGTGCCTGAAAAGGAGTATTATTACTGTTTTTTTTTTTTTTTTAGAAAAAGCAAATTGACTTTAATAAGGCTCTATCAATGACAATGGATTAATTGAAACATGTGAATGTTAAAGAGTTGAATTGCCATAAAATTTTGAGAATTACAGCAAAATAAAATAACTTATACTCTTTTAAAAGAGCTTTGTAATATGTAAGTACCTACTTTAAGTGCTGCGTTTGTGATTAGAGCTATCTTTAAAACTGTTTAATGGTTGCCTTAAAATATTTTGATGCCTACTATAATCCTTATATAATTTTCCATATGCTACCAAGTAAATGCTTTGAAATGTCATTCCATCTTAATTTGAAATTTACTCATTAAGATTTTAAGATTTATCTTTTGAATTTAATTTCTTATTACTTTTTGATATTATAAAATTAGAAAGTAACTCTATATGGCAAATGAACACATTTGAAGGAAGGAAGGGAAACATACCTGAACGTATTTATAATTTTTCTCTTTAGCAATTGCTCTGATGACTTTGAAATAATGATATCAGCAAATAATTAGTTCATTTGATTCAAATCCTCCTTTCATTCGAAACTGTGCATAGGATTTTTGCAAAATAAATAACCATAGGATATCATAGGATGTCCCTGAATGTGACAACATAAAGACAAACTTACAAATAAGGACACTGACACATTCATTCTGATATTCACATTTGAAAAGACAAGGCATACTAAAATGTGTATATGTGAATAATTAAATATTTGTTTGGCCTCTAGATTACACGCTTGTGAAATAGCACAATCTTCCTTCGCAGAGTGATGCTGGAATCCTCGACAGACCCTCTCCTCAGGAGACATTGGCACAGTATGAGGGGGACACATCTGCCGGCAAAATACTACAGATGGTTCCCCTCATTAGCCTACAGAACTCCAAGCAGCCATCACGGAGGAGGCTTGGGAATCTCACTTGGACAAGATGTTAAGCTAGCCTCCTGTTCAATGTCATTACGGTTTCTCCAAAATAATCTCCTTAGTGTGCTCTGTTGGGCTGGGGCTGGTTTACATGTCGCACTTGCAGAGATTGGAGATGGCAGCACCATATTCAGTTTGCCCAAGGGCATTACATGCTTTTTAGATTTGGAAAAGTTTCACAGCAAGTCAGACTTGGAAAACTTCTTAATCTAAATGCAGTGGCAGGGCAGCCTCCATGCTCCCTGGAAACTCATTAGCTTTTGGAATTCTAAGCACTACTCACCTTCATGTTCACGCTTCCTTATTACATTAAATGCATTTGCACTCTCATTTCTCCTCTTCCCCTCATCCCACTGATTTATTGACATAGTGGTATTTTAATTTTGTTTTGTTTACCCTTTGTTTATGAATCAGCCTTAAAATCAGGGCACCAAGCCCTGGCAACCGGAAATGTTAGTTAAGTTTAGCAGTAGAAACAGCAGGGGGAGCCCATACTGTTTTATGGTCTGCAGTTTGTCTGGCTGGATTATTATAATAATAATTATTATAGTCGTTGTTGTACGTTTATAACATAGATGTTTACAATCTGTGTACATGTATAACATGCATGTTTAGAACACGGGCAATCACCATGTGCTAGACTATTGCAGTTTTAAGTCACAGAGAGTCAATTTTTATTCTTTAATTATATGAAATGATCAGGATACCACTAACAATAATTGAGAAGATAAGAACTTGGCAGTAAGAGTTACTTTCCCTGTTTTTTGAACTAGAGAGAAATCCTGTTTCACATTTCATTATTTCTCGAAAAATAAGATAAGCTAAAATCCCTGTGTAATCTCTGTTTTCTGTAGCTGTTTTCTGGCATTTCCAGCAGCAGCTTTTTGTTTTCTAAGTAAAGAGACGTTAAAATGTACCATCTGATATGTTTTTATGATTGTGATAGTGAGGAGAGGTTCTACTGCAATCACTGGGTATTCTAATATGAACCAGACTTAGTTTTCAGTTTTAAAGCTAATAAAATGCAGAAGCCCAGTGGCCTTTAATATTGTTTTCTTATGCTTGATGAGGTCCTTGGGTCAGTAAGTTTTCAGTACCGTAAAATAATTCAGAATATCTGAACTACATTTTGCTCCCTAAATAAACCATTGTAACATCTGTGGGCATACATTATATATATTGCAGCTCATCCTAGATTATTCTGCTTTATTGGAGGGGGAGGCAACTCTAAAGTGATATTCACATGCCTGAATTGGTGACTGCTGGTAATGTCAGAAAAATCTCCTCACAATGTGATTCCTGATTAGGTTAAGAAGAGTTTTGTAAATCTAAACAATTTCTATTGAATAATTTTTGGATTTCATAAGAAATAGCTTAAAACTACATTGCCAAGGATATTGAATATTGGTGCAACACACACACTTTTAAAAATTGAGAATAATTGGCCGGTCACGGTGGCCCATGCCTGTAATCCCAGCACTTTGGGAGGCTGAGGTGGGTGGATCACCTGAGGTCAGGAGTTCGAGACCAGCCTGGCCAACATGGTGAAACCCCGTCTCTACTAAAAATACAAAAATTAGCCAGGTGTGGTGGCAGACGCCTGTAGTCCCAGCTACTTGGGAGGTTGAGACAGGAGAATCACTTAAACCTGGGAGGCAGAAACTGCAGTGAGCCAAGATTTGCACCACTGCACTCCAGCCTGGGCCAGACAGAGCAAAACTCTATCTCAAAAAAAAAAAAAAAAAAAAAGAAAAAGAAAAAAAAATTGAGAATAATTAATTTTTTTTCTTTTTTGCCAAAATAGTGTAAGGTTTAAAATTCTATGATGGATCAACAATTCTGTGGATTGACATTTCTGGTTCTTTCCACTTTGAAATTAAAAAATGCCATCTTGGGGTGATCAGAAAACCTTAAGGAGGAATAGCATTTGAAGAGGTCTTGAAGGTTGAAAACTTTATGGGGATGGTAGTGGGTGGGATGTGTAGTTGTGAGAGGGCAAGATACTTCAGGCAGAAAGAAGATCATAAGCAAAGGGGTAGTGTTGGAAAGGGGTCCTAGTGAGACTAAGATATAGGAACCTTGGGTATATACAAAGGAGCGGTGGGCTATCTGTGATGTTCTGATGTGCAGCTAAGCAGTTAGGACTTTATTCTAGAGGCAGTGGGAGCCAGGGAGGGTTTTAGAGGGAGATATAATAGGAATTACATTCCAGGATGGTTGATTTGGTGCCAGGGCACAGGATCCTTTGAAGATTTAATTCAGTTTATTTAGCAACATCATTAGAAAGCAAAATAAAAAAGATGTAATTTAAAAGTCTCTCTCCACATAATTTTAGAATATGATATAAAATGTTTTTATGTCACCTTCCTTGACTAATATAGTCAATGCTAAAATCCAGGAGAATACCTAGCTTTATGGGTCTTTTCTTTCCGTGAATATTGATAATAACATCTTACATCTGGGGAACATAATTTATTATTCTAAATGCTTATTATTCAAAATAACATAATAAAGGCATAATAAGTCTCTCCCCCACCATGATCTCTCTTTGATGGCATATATAAACATAGATTTAGAGATAAGATGGAAAGCTTAGGTCTGTTTCAGTGTTTCTATGAGTAGTTGAAATCAGGTCGGGCGCAGTGGCTTACGTCTGTAATCCCAGCACTTTGGAAGGCTGAGGCAGGTGGATCACCTAAGGTCAGGAGTTCGAGACCAGCCTGGCCAACATGGTGAAACCCCATCTCTACTAAAAATGCAAAAAATTAGCTGGGCGTGGTGGTGGGCACTTGTAATCCCAGCTACTTGGGAGGCTAAGACAGGAGAATCGCCTGAACTCGGGAAGCAGAGGTTGCAGTGAGCTGAGATCATACCATTGCACTCCAGCCTGGGCAACAAGAGTGAAACTCTGTCTCAAAAAAAAAAAAAAAAAAAGAAAGAAAGAAAGAAAAGAAAGAAATAAATTATCATTCTATGGCTACTTGTTTTAAATAAGCACTGAATTTCATTTTGTAGGTGTCTTACACTGTAGTACCATAGTTGACTCAATTATACACTCATAAAGCACTTTTTGGAGAAAAATAGAGCATCAGCCTGTTATATGTGAGTGTTGTTCAGTAATGTCTTTCTTTCTCTGGAAAGTTTTACAGTTTGCAGACGTGATATATTAATATTGTATTCTATTTGATCCGGAGAGAAAGAGAAAAGGGACAATAACATGAAGAAAGCAAAAGGGGGCTCTAATTACAGAGAAGAGATTTAAATAATTTTAGTAAAATATATTATTTTAAAAATATTTCAAGAAAATAGTTCAAATCAATACATTTTAAAACCCTATAGTATACTTTAAAAAGTATCATTGGAGTAGGGAGGAAACCCAATAAGACAATTCCTTCTAAACCATTTGGCAAAAAGTGGGAACTTAGAATAGTTATCTAATGCAGTCCATTTGTCTGTTGAACTGATAGTACCATGATTCAAGTAACACACCATTTCTGGCTTATGTAGCCAAAATTACCATCTTTGACTTCCATTTCAATGTATGCTTCCATCTAACTTCGTATAAATATATAGGGCTCTTTAGACTCTGTGTTTGGCATTATCACAATTTTTGCTTGGCTCAGACAGGGCAGGTTGATTATCATTAAAGTGTTATTTATTTCTATTTTATTAAGCCCCTTTTACATTCATGTTACAGGTTAATTTATACTTTTATTTCATGCACTACTTGGCTTTACTGATTAATATGCCCCATGGCATTCAATAAAGTCAGGCAGTGGAGGAAATAAGAGTGGTATTAATTTCTAACATTGCTATAAATTTGCCTTAATAAAACTAGCTCAATAACATTACAGAAGTAATACAATGGATGCTTCCAAATTGTTAGCAAAGATGCAACTAAACAATTTTCCTTCCTGAATTTCACATAACACTATTGCCTTTTCTTTGAAGTGTGGAAATGAAACCTGCCATATATTTTTTCTCTCTTTAAAAGGTAATCTAATAGTTGGCATGATAACACAGTACACAGCTCTCCATTTGACTTATTCCAATATGCCTTATTCAGACTTTAGGTTACAAACTGTGCAAATTAACACAGGCTCTCAGGCCCCTGGGATGGGTGAGTGAAACTTTATTCATGTAAGAATTTTCATAAATATTAATAGTAGGTCTGCAGAATCGTTTGTTCTTCTCTAATCTATTAATGTTCAATTCCAATAATAAATATGATCACTACAAAATCTGAAAATATGGAAGGGCTAGTGAAAGTCTACATGCTAGGTTTTTTTTTCCAGTTAACCCAGCTCTCCCACCCCAATTGTTCAATGAAATAAGGTTAGAATTAGGATTTATAGGAATTTATAAAAACGAGGACACACTGCTATCCACTGAATTTTGGCTCACAAAATTTTGATGATAAAGAATGTATTCCATTATTAAGTAACCAAATTCATGCATTAGAAGAGAACACTTATTCTCTCCTTTTCATTTATTAGCCAGGCTAGCCAAAATATTGTTACCAATTGGAAATTTGCCTTTATCTCCATTATTCCAAAAAAGTAAGGGCACTTTACCCTGTGCTTTCCCTTCGCTTTTCAATAATGTCTTTGAATAGCATTTATGGGCTGGAAGGAGAAATGATAGAGAAAAGCAACAAATGGAAATGTGTGCATTGGACAGGTATTTATTTATCAGCCTTTGTACCAGGCTGGGGATAGAACTGTGAAACAGTTTTACCAGTTTGTTCTTTATTTAATATATAGACTTTTTTTTTTTTTTGAAGTAGGGTCTCTGTCTGTAGCCCAGGCTGGAATGCAATGGTGTAATCATGGCTCACTGCAGCCTCAACCTCCCAAGCTCAAGCCATCCTCCCGCGTCAGCTTCCTAAGTAGCTGAGACTACAGGCACATGCCACCATGC